ACCACAAATGGCAGGGTGTGCAGGCAGCATCTGTCTTTTATAGAACCTCCATGCACATTAAACCACCTGACCAGCGCACACCTTACTCTTCCTTACCTGTTGTACTCTAGCGGATGCAGACCATACCAGATTGGCACTTTGAGACCTTCATTTTAGATATATACACTAGTCAAAGATTTGCACTTAAGGACCGCCCAAAGTAATGAGCGCCATCTGACATTCTGGGAGAATCTGCTACGTACCATCATTGCTACAGACCACAGAAGGAAAAAAAAAATCCCTTTAAAGGGGGTTGGCTGGACCCTGCCGAGTTTGCAACCGAATGCTCTAACTTGCCCTTCCTAACCCCAACCACTGCTCTGTAATGTCTGTACAAGGATCGCATCATGTAGAGTGATCCCCTTCATTAAAGTGTATATAAACTCCAGAAAACAAAATTAAATATATATCAGCTTACCAGTCTTTAGATGTGGTGGCTGCATTAGTTTTTCTTTTTTTAGGCATTTTACCGCTCTTTATTTTTTCCTTGTGATCCTGCCAGAAACAAACTTCCTGTCCTAGAGTGACAACACCCACACACCGTACTGTAACCAGGATCTACTAGAACACACCTCCCCCTCCTCTCAGGTAGGTGGGGCATTGTAACAGATAAGAATGGAGCACAGAAAGATGACAAAATCCCTGGGTACTTTTTGCACGTGTCAAACAGATACAACATGCTTTCAATGGTATATCTAAGGGAGCATTTCTCAGCTTTTTTTTTTTAGGCATGGCATCCTTTAAAAGTAGATTAGATTTTAAGGGGGACCCTGTGCAAAAACACTAAGAATGAACATGGAAGTGCATCCTTCAAATCAAGATTCCACCTTCCACCTCACATCTTCCTTCCACCTCACATCAGAGTTAACCTTTGCATCAGTAGCCCCCTCTATCAATGTTCCCCCTTTAAGTCACGAGTCCCCTTCAACTCCGTCTTCATCCGCCCCTTCACATCACAGTCCCACTGCCACAACATTTTGGGGCACCCCTTAAGAAGCCCAAAGGCACATCTGGATGCCACGGCACCATGGTTGAGAAAAGCTGCTCTAAGACCAAAAGGGAGCAGATGAGAGACGTTCATGGATAGGATTTACATGCCATTTAATACATAACAGATCCCAGTTACATAATTGGGGAGTTCGTGAAGAGACTTCCTGTTCATACATTTCTTTCAATTGACAGCACAATAATCACTGCTGACACTTTGGGCTTTCTTTGGTGCAACAATCAGGTGGTTATGGCTACACAACTAAGCAATACGTGACTTGTCTGTGGACTTCATTAACATTCCTCCGTAATACGACTTCAGGAGACACTCCGGAGTTTAAACAATTTTATTGTGAGTAAAATAACAGTACAAGGAAAGAAGAGGGGAAATAAAATACATGACCCTTGTGAAATGTGTATCATTACATTACTATACTAAACTGCGATACAAAGACCTGGAATTCAAATCTTTGCAAAAAAAAAAATGGAGGAGGAGATGAAGGATAATCGTCAACCAATATAAAACAAAAGCTTTCACACTAGAATCATATGAAGCCGGAAACATTTCAATGCAGGAGTAACAGGAGCCTTAGGCTATAGTGGATAGTAGGATGTCCCATCATGTTACCTGCCTTTGGTGCACAATGGAGGAAGACATTTTTATCTCTAGCAAAGCAGCCGATTCGTAATCAAACAATTACATCACAGAGGCAAACTCCATGCCATAGTGACCATGCTAGTTAAAGTATACCGACAGGTCAAATGATAAGGCCTATTCACATTATACTGGAATGTCATCATTTAGCTGGTAAATCTGATCTTGGCTACCCGGTACTAGCTCCACCTGCTTGGCACAACCATTATGAGGCATTTGCACCCCATATGGCATTTTGTATGTATTTATTATGCAATAGTCTCAACTATTTCTGCAGCATTCTCCAGGATAAAAACTTAATAAAAAGAATTCAACAGAGAGAGGAAGTCTCCCCATGGCAAGAACTTTATATTCCAGGGAGAGCTCACTGCTGTGGTCCCTAAGATACAAGAAGCGCATGTGTGATTCAGCCAACCAGACCAATAACTGGCGGGATAATTGGGCATTTTAAATGTAGAATCTAACAGCCGGGGAGTAGTGTTAAAAGAACTGAGAAACACACGTGTCCACCAATAATAGAAAAGGTCTTGGATAGTTAGAAGCCTGCTGTATAATCAGCAAGGTCAAGTGGCTCCCTAGCTTCAGAGATTTGTCCAGACCAAGGCTAAAAACTTTGCTTCCTAGAATCAAAATGGCTGCCTTTGCTGTGCACCAAGACAGGGGAATTTTACACCAAAAACCTGTAACAATAAGGACAGGTGTAGGACTTGGGGAGCGGCAAGTCAAGAGTACGTCTGTTTATACATAATAAAAGCATTACCTACATGCTGGAGTGATACAGTTGCAGGAAGGTAATGCAATAACCAAAAACAATCCTTTATCACATGACCTCCTCATATAACAATAAGAAAAGTAGGCTAAATGATTTATAAATACAAAAAAAGTTATTTCCAAATAATAGTCTGAAGAGAGTGGTTGAGGCAGTGACATTCTATAAAGAGCTACATCCTTCATACTGTAGGTAGAAAACAATGTCATTTATGTATGATGTCCAGTCAAGACTTTGTGTTGTATCTGGTCAGGAAATGTGGATTTAAAGGGGATTTCCACGACACCACTGACTCTGTATGAAGGTCATCTGCTCAGGAAAAAACAGCTTTCAGGGTGAATTGCTGACCGCCACTGGGCTAGCCAAGACCTATAAACCAGTTCGATGATAACCTGGTAGATGATGACTCCCTATAACAGGGGTAGGCCCTCCAGCTGTGATGAAACCACAAATCCCATCATGCATCTGCCTCTGGCATTGTCTGTAATGACTAATGGAATTCGTACTCGTACCACAGCTGGAAGGCTGGAGTAGGACTATGCTTGCCCTAATAACATATTGGAGTCCAAATCTTTGCATGGAGCTTCATGGAATTCCCCTTTCCTTCCTCAAATAAATTGGTGCTTCCAAAAAGTGTCGAATTCACCGCCATTACCTGTAACAGCTTTTCAATTTGCCTGCTTTATTTAAAAAAAAAAAAAAAAAAAAAAAAAAAATCGACAAAAATTACAAAGTTTGTGAGTTGGGGCGCACAGTGCATTTTCCAAAGAGTGCAATATAAAGAATGTACTTGAGATGTAAAAGAATATTGATCCCTGTAATAATACTTCTCATTCACAGTTCATTTCCTATAAAGAATTCTGGTAAAATGTTACAGCTGACCGCATTGATCTGGGCTACATCTGAAGTTATGACGACCTTCTTCCTAGGAGGAGCTAACGTAAAAGAAAAAGTCTTCATTTTGGCATGGAAGACTTCTATCTGCAGGTACAACCAGGTGTATTGTTCCTGGTAAGTGTGATCATTTGAATGTTTGCCCTTCTATATGATAAGACGGATCATCGCTATTAACACATACGGGTATTTAGAACTAAAAGGTGATGATTTACAAAGCAAGTTAGACTGACTCTGCTTCAAATGAAACTCACATTTAGAAAACCAGCAGAAATATATTAAAGTGTACCTACCGTCTGTGGGGAGCCATGTTGTGGGCTGAATGGATATCAGCTAAGTTAGTTCAATGGTAGACAAGTGTTGGCCTAGTTGGAACTGCCAGTGTATTTATAGGTGGGACCTATGGTGGTCACCTTTCAGGGGAAGGATACCATACTCTCTTCCATTAAAAAGTAAGGTTAGTATTTCAGATCTTGGTGGACACAAGCTAACTCCGTTCCCTAGCAGAATCTCAAAAGTTGGTATTGTAAATTTGGCTACCAGCCTCCTACCGCTGACAACAGGTTTGTAGCGAAGGCACAACTCCACAGGGAAAAATCAAGCTACTCTACTCTGCAAGAGATGTACTAAGCCGGAGGGTGATTCTACCTGCCGATGTACAATCTAATTACATAAGCGGTGGGTGGGCTGACTCTATAGCAAGTGCCACCTTCACTGGCCAGGGCAATGAAACATTGACCAGGCAGTGCCCCCTGCAACATTCTCCTGACTAGGTTTAGCCCACAGAATGGCTTCCTCCACCTTCACAGGCAATATAGCACTCAATATTGGATTCAGTAGACATTTCAGGCAATGTAACTGAAATGTTTGAATGTGTTAAGATGTACAGAGGAGCTTTTGGTTATTAAGCAATAGCCTGCAGCGGTCTTCTTATAAGTAGCTGTTATACTTCCAAAGCAATGTATTAGTACATAATTTGGTTAAAGCTGCAAGGCGAGCATCATGTGATCCATTCTGTACCTTTGCTCTTACAAGTCTACTCTGCCGAAAAGGAACGACAAGGAGGAGGAAGAGGCAGGTTAGAAACATCCAAGCAGGCAGTGTCATTATCCACTGCTGCTGGGAATACAACTTCTAAAGCAATTCATTCACTTTCCAGTCTAATTTTAGGGCAATAATTCTGCTATGGAGCCATCAAAATCTCACAACGGAACAGAGTAAAATGAAGAAAGCAGACACACCACACATGGTAGGAGACTCGTTATAAAGCATACATGTGATGGTGTGCTTGAAGTGAATTCACAATTGATCAAGATCCTATTCATTCATTCTTGTGATCGTACAACGAATGTGACCGCTACACGGTTATATAGTGAGGAAGTGGTACGGGTGATCATTCCATGTCATTAAGGCAGCAGCAGTTCCTAGCGAGAAGAAGCACAATTGACGCCAGCAAACAGCCAATTACTTGCTTAGATTATTCGGCTACAACTGAGAGTACCCCATGAAAGGACTGGTTAGATAAGGGACTGAGTGTAAAGCAGCTCGGAGTACGCACAGCAAGGGGTAATGGCAAGCCTGTTGGGCCACAAGGTTAAAAGGTTTCACTAATTTAGGAGGAAGGTGCTGAGCTCTGATGGGTACATGCCTTTTTCCCCCCACAGAGCAAAGCAAAAGCCAGCTATTTACAAGAGACATGCCCAAGTGTTAACAGAAAGTGGTGATCACAAGCTATCAGCAGTGCATTTAGCTATTCAGCTGGGCTGTACAATCACAACTGAAAAGCCAAGTGAACAGTTTGTGTCATAAGCTGCTGAACACACAGGTAAAGCACCTGGTGTGATGTGACTTTCCTGGTTTAACCTTTCACAATCAAACTATGACTAGCAGGATCAGTTACGGAGTTTTCTGGCATTCCTTTATATAAATGGAGACAAACAATAAGATCGGGTACATTCTAGTGGTTAATGGAACTCTTAGAAACATGACAGTGTTCCTGCAGCTCTCTACGACTCGCTCTTCTTCTTGCTCTTCTTCAGGAAGGAAGGAGTGCGGAATTTCTTCTTCTTTTTGGAGGGAGATTTGCCGGGAGATTCGTCGCCGCCAGCATCGGCCTGTGCGTTTTCAGCCTGTGCGGCCTCTGGTGGGGCCACCGCCGCTTCCTCCGCAGCTGGTGCGGCGGCAGGAGAAGAGTCAATGTTTTGAGGTTCAGGCTCCTTGTGTTCTTCAGGAGCAGTTTCTGTGTGAACTTTAGGAAGGTCCTCCTCGGCAGAGGCATTTTCTCCTTCATTTGGTTTGTCCACGGATGGAAAGCCGAGAGATTCAGATGGCTCATCTGGGGTAAGGTCTGGAAGAGTTTGCTTGAAGGTTGCAGCATCACTGTCATCTCTGTAGGTTGGCTCCTGAGGAGACTCTGTGGGAAGGGTCAGAGAAAAACATTATCGATAACGTTGTCTGCGAACGAAGACGGACACCTCTGAATACTATTACACACTTGTGCAAGCTTTAGGCATGGACCAGTTTTATAGCGCTTTATAATTGCTCGAATGTAAAAAAAGTAAATGCATAGAAGCTCTGAACGAACCATTTACAAATATGTATGTAAAAGTTTAGATATCTGTCACTCTATTTACATTGGCTGGGAAGTTCTCTGTCACTGGCCTCAGGTGTCAAGCACACCAATGCCTGGTGAATAGAAGGCACATGTAACCAAATAGCTCACTGTGTACAAAGCCAAGTTTGTCCCTTCTTGCTTGGTCCAGATGAAAGTGCAATGCAGTAGAGCCGTACCTGTGCACAACTTTGTTGAAATTTAGCATCACTTAATATGTAAAAAATAAAATGTAAGATATCCAGCAGTGTGAATAAAAGCAATAGAGCATTACTGTATGTTATGTCACAATGGAAAGGTTCTCTAGATTGCATCAATAGCATGTTGAAATTATGTAATCTATTGAAAGTTTTATCAAGCAATCCGGGATGTTACAGGTGACATTCCAATGTTATCTATGAAATCGATGGACCTGTGTCTTTATTCAACCTTAAATACTATGTAATGTAAAGTCATTGGGGGGAAAAAAGTAAGTACACCCCATGAAAATGGTTACGTTTTTCAACATATTTGGACAGGCGAACATTAGAGCTTTATTTAAGCAACGCCTGCGGATAAAAGTGATAGACTTCAATATGAACACAAGAGAAATTTGCCTTATTACTAATTCAACAAAATTAGCAATAGATGTACTGATGTACTATGGAATCAGAAAGTACTCCCTGTGCATCAAAAGCAGAAATGTCTTCTTGTAGACCTTTGGTATAACTGCCTCTGACATCTGAATGTTTGGTCCATGCAAAGTTCCCTCATGTTTGTGGTTTCCTTACAAAGGACTGACCGCTTCAAAATACCTGTACACATTTTCAATGGGAATCACATCAGGGCTTCAACTAGGGCAGTCCATACCACCATTTCCTCTTTAAGCCCTTCCTTGGTGGATTTGCTAGTGTGCTTTAGATCATTAGAATGTTGAAAAAGCCTTTGCTGTCCAAAAAGAACAGATTCCAATGTTCCATTAAACATAAAGGCAAAGACCAGGCCCTCTGGAAGAATGTGGACATTTGCCACAAACCAAAGACCGTTTTTCAGAAGAGCCTCATAACAACTGATTCTGCATATTAAAAAGTGTGCTCGATGAGAATGTGAAGCCATCTGTCCAAAAGTTCAAACAGAAATAAAGTCTCTCACACACACACACATCTCATGCAGGTTGAGCTGGTGCAACCTCTTTCTAGATGCATGCACTTTGACCCCCAGCAGATGCCAAGAGTTACCTGAACACCCCACAATGAAATGTTGGGGTTCTTGGAAGCTTCATTTAGCATCAAATGGTCAGCTCTTGGGTTGAATTTGCTGGGCCAGCTGGTGGCATAGATTTCAAAGAGGAATGATCAAGATCAAGTCATTTGCTGATCTTTTTAAACACTTTGCTGGATTTATAGGTATCCATAAGCTTCTTTCTGAGAGCCTCCGAGAGCCATGTCACCTTTATCTGTAGGCATTATTTATGTCAAAATCTAATGATTTTCTGTTCAAATATGTTAAAAAAAAAGGTCTTCAATTTCCATGGCGTGTACTTCCTCACACTGTATGTTGTTCAGATTTGGTGAGGCAATTTAGGGGAACGTAGAGGCCCTCTCTAGCTCCCTAACCTAATTTAACTTAGAACTCATCCGCAACGCCCACCCCCCCACCCTGTGGGTACCTTCAGAGGGCACTTTATTCATGCTTCATATATGGGTTCCCATTCATAAATGGGGATATCTGCATTCTTTTGTTTTCATTGGTTAGGGTTTCTTTTTCTATATGTTTAATTAAATGTATATATATTTTTCTACATGTCGTTGGTTTGAATGTTTTTGTTGGTGCAGTCCTCAGCATAGGAAACTCATTCACATTTTTTTGTATTGTACATTTCCTCATTGCAACTCCTGGTACACTAGGCGGTGCAGTCCTACAAGCTCTCATTAGGATAACTGGACATGACAAGTTCTGTATGCAGAATAGTACAGCACCGTTGTCTTCACTTCTAATAAGCAAGCTAAACCTCAGTCTGGTAAAAACAAAAGTGTACTGGAGGTCTGGGACTTGGTCATGCTGTCAAGCAGGGGTGTCTGAATTACAAGACTATATATACAGTATGTAGGATAAAGATGGATGCAGTGATTGAAACATTGACAATAAAATGTTAATGCTCTCACTTGTGTCCGCTGCAAGATCTGAGATTACCTCTAGATCTACTTTGGACATATATGTAAAGAAGAGTGGTGCACACCAAACGGTCTTGCACTAAATGACCAGCACGTTGAAGACTACATTGGGGGGCATATAGGCCCTTTATCAGGCAACCAGTGAAGACGTTGCTCCAAATCTTTGTATATTGTGAACAATAATTCGTTTTTTTTGAGTCTTTGATGTGTTGCAGAGTTACAAGACTGACTGAACGGAATTTTAAATCTTTTGGCAATATAGACCTATATATCATACACTTTTCCAACTTTTACATACATGTTTGTAAATGATACAGATCAGACTGTTTTGGATACCAGCAGGTAGCCGTGCAATTTACGCTTCGAGATCCAGCTAAAAAGCATTCATGTTGTAATGACTCTAAAGTGTGTAATACATTCGTTTTTTTGTGGGGGTTTTCCACAGGAAAGAAAAAAAGGAAGCTGAACCTTTCTCCCAAAGTTTTTGTTAAAAAGCAGTTAAATATTAAGTACAGAAAGGAAACCATTCAGATGTATTTTAGGATTACTATTAAAGTGTTAGAAACTGGTTAGCAAATTTAATAACTTATGTATGATTTCCGCTTTCAGAATCAGCCTCTCCACATTTATCATACTAAATATAATAATAATTATGAGAGTGAAACAATCTGTACATCTCCCGAGCAACGATACACTGGTGTATCTGGCAACGCTCCATGCAGATTATATTTATACAACTTTTTAGTTTACACTAGGGATGCACCGATACTAGTATCGTTGCTGATGCCGAGTATTTGGGCAAGTACTCTTACTTGCCCAAATGCTCTGACGCTTAGCCCGATACTTCCGGTATCAGGAAGCCGGGCAGCGCGTCATTACACGCTGTCCAGCTTCCTGATTGGCTGGAAAGCCAGCTCCATGCTCCCTCATCATTTGTGATGAGAGAGCACGTAGCCGGCTTCCCGGCCAATCAGGATGCCGGGCAGCGTGCAATGACTCGCTGCCCGGCTTCCTGACCAGGAAGCTGGGGACGGCTTCCCTGCTAAATCGGGAAGCCGGGTGGCGAGTCTTTACACGCCACCCGGTTTCAAGGCTAATCAGGAAGTCAGGTGGCGAGTAATTACACGCCGCCTGGCTTCCTTAATGGGACTTCCGGTATCAGTGAGTACCGGGAAAAAAAAAAAAATCGGCACTCGATAACGAAAAACTGGTATTAGTGCATCCCTAGTTTACACAAACTAAAATTAATTCAAAACCTAAATCCTTTATAAACTATATGGGGAACAACACTGATCAACCACATTTCGAAGAATGAACATGAATGAATAGTATAAGTCTGTACTCTGTAAAAGGATCCAAGAAAAGTGCAGTGTACAGTAAGACCTCCACCTTGGTGGAATTGGTGGACTTGTACAGTAATAAACAATGTTCAGTTTCATCACTAAACTATATCTTAAGTATATTATGGAATATTGCATAGAAATATATAAAATAATACAGGAGTGTGATGTGTGTATATATGTAGGTATATATATTTTAACATACATTGTCTTGGGTTTTCCAAATATCTAATCCACTTGTGAATGTCTGACATTTGCGACAGATTCAAGCACAACATTCTGACGGGACCATTAAATCGGTCGTGCACTCGGACAGTTGCTTCAGATGTCTATAAAGTATCTTTGGCGCTCTTTATGAATTCCCCTATTTGTTGTGATCTTTGAGGATGAATTACTTCATAGTATAAGCAGCTAGAGAGGTCAGTGATGGTTTGTTTTAAAGCTCCTTTACTGCTGGTAAAGATTATGTAAAAGCTTAAAATTACTGTAGTCAGAGGAACTGGCACACTTTAAAAGGGAGAAACTCTTTTCTCAGAAAAAGGAAAACCCTTAAACGATGTATACAAAAGTAAACTTGCATATTGTGAGCTTATGTGTACTTAAATCTTTTTCTATTTTCTGACTTTGAGCTGCAACAGTATCCAAGATGAATGCTCCTTGCAGCTGAGGCCAGAGAACAGATTGTGGATGGGTGCATGGGTAGGCATTCAAAAATCAGATGTAGGAAATCAAACTACATTGTGCATAATGGTGATGCAGGAGCAGCAGCATGTAAACCAAACCCATACATCCCAAGTTACTGTGAGATGGCTGAGAAATGGTTTTTCAAGCACCCGTCACACATTATCATGGCCAATTATAAATTCATTAGGGTGCAGCGGGTCAGCCACTAGTGGAATTACTTTCCAAACATTGCCCATGAGAATGCTGAGCAGTGTGGTAAAAGCACAAAATTGCTTCTTCCAGTGTATATAGTTGAAATGCGGGATTACATTCACAAGCATGTGAAGGTGTGAATGACTATATGGAGTAGAAGCACAATCCATATGATGCAAATACAAAACTGGACCCTCACCATTGTTGCATGTTGTCATGCAATGCAAAGATTTATATACACCTTCTGTATTTATTCATGATCCGTCTGGTCTCCTGTCATGGTTACAATGACCGACACACCACGAACCCAGCGTACCAGTGCGTTCGGCCTCTGGAACGCAAGCCGCCGGCCGGCTCTCTGCGTTCAGGGACGTGGCGGTACATTGAAGTCAATGGCACCACAGCCTAGCCCCCGCCCGCAGTGCGATCGCCCGCACCCAGAACGCAGGCACATTAGTGCTTGCATCCCAAGTGCAAGCACTATTTTTGCAGAACGCACTGGACTGGAACGCAGACACTAACAGGCCTGCGTCCCGGGTGCAGGTGACCGCACTGCGGGCGTGGCTGCGGTGCCATAGACTTCAATGCACCACCACGCCCCCTCCCGCAGGGAGCCGGCTGGCTTGCATTGCAGAGGCCGAACGCACTGGAACGCGGGGTTTGTGGTGTGAACCGTCCCTAAAAAAGTAATCTGTGTGGCAGACTCTTTTCTTCATTTAGTTTACTCTTATGAAATGTGTTAGTACTTCAGAGCATCTAAAACAATAATGTAATAGATTACAGTTTACAATCCCTACACATAGTGGCTGCAATAGTTTTCTTGTTTTAGGGTTTTTTCCCCCTCTATCTTCACCAGGTGATCCAGCCAGTAACACACTTCCTGTCTTAGGGTGGCTCCGCTCTATGGAGGAGTAACAGAGCCACCCTTGGACAGCAGCATTGTCACCATGTGGGGAGGGGGGGATGTTAGATGGACTAGCTGATTTAGAGTACCATCTGCACCAAATACTTTATGAAAGGCTGCATCACGAACACATTAATTAAAAGAAAGAAGTCCGCCAAACGCATTAAATGCGGCCTGATTGCATCCATGTAGAAATGTGGGTTCAGTGGGATTTACAGCTACCACATGGCTTAAATGTCACAAAGGTCTCTGGTAACGAGGAAGGGCTTTTGCGCAAAAACAAAAAACAGCTACTAACTCGGTCATTTGCTTACCACTCTAGTATTCCGTAGCTTCTGATTAACTAGGCATCTGGGCCAGCATTATATTTTTTGATAGTGTCACAAGGCTACGCAGGGACCACCCGTATATGTTTATGCAACTGTAGGTGTAAGTTATCCTCCACATTAGTAGATACTAGCTGAACAGGTATCTATGCAAGTCAGCAAAAAGGTGCCCAGACAAAAAAAATTAAATAAAAATGAATATATTTGGCTCCATACATACCCCGTGTGCAACATACATTTTCCTATTGTGCCGATTAATTCAATTAAGTAATCCCCAATAATTGGATGACTGTAATCTACCCCCTTTTCTTCTTCCTAACCAATAAGGATCTCACAATCGTACGACTGGGTATAAATGGCTAGGACAATTAGTATTAAACAAGGGGCTTATTCGTGATCAAATTAAAAACAAGGACGCGATAGAATGAAGCAAAGCACACAAGGATTGGAGGAAAAGTAAAAAGAAAGGAAATAGGATGAGATGATACTTACTATGGTAACAGGTACTCTTTAGTATATCCATCTCCTGTTTGGCAGCCACAAGAAAAAAGCACAAGTAGAAAAAAAAGTCTAATGCATTCATTGAAGGCGTTTTAAAGTCAAATGAATAGCTGACAACAATCTAGGGATGATACAAGGCAAGAGGTGCGGATCTGAATGAAGAAAACTCAGACATATGATATTTATATGTAGGAGAGGGAGCACAGACAATACTGAGACAGCTCAGGTAGATGGGGTAGACACCGGGGGCTGACCTATGGAGAGATTCATTTTATTTCACAGCTTTTAGTCTATGCTGTATACTTAATCATGTCCCATATCTAAACTTGTGTTGCCCACCCACTTATATTTTTAAATATACTTTGTTCAAATTTATATTCTAATATACAAAATACAATAGTGCATAAAGACGTCAGAAACCATGTGAAAGCGAGTCATAAAATCAGATCCGGTCAAACCCAACGAGATAATATAAGTTATGTTATCAACATGCAAACAGCATGCAATAAACCCAACATGCAAGGTTGCTGTATAAAAGTGTGCAATGTTTACAGGACATCTTACAAAGTAAAAAGCAATGCTGCAGTTCATACAACTAGTGAGAGCCACACAGGCGTCGATATACAAAGCCTCGAGAGCAAAGCCCAAATGTAAAAAAAAAAAATCTGATGAAATTGAGCAATTGCTCACAGCAACCAAGAGTCATTGATTGGCTGCTGAGAAAATGTGCTCAGGCTTTCTTTTCCCCCCAATTATTATATACCAGCTCCACCGAGGCCAAATAAATGCTCACTACAAGAGGTGCAGGATATGCAATAGTGGCACACTATGTGCACCCGACCAATACCATTTCGTGAGCCATCATGTAATGAGTAATAGTGTGCCTCCACTAACAGGCTAAAAATACACCAATAAGGCGTTTTATCTTACAATAATTGGCAAAACAAAACATAGAATTTTGAAAAGATAATCTCTTTGTATACATCAGTCTAGCACTCAATCACTGGAGCAGTAATTATATGAATTAAAAAGCACATGCTGTCTTCATGTAGTGACCCTTTCCCATTCTATGGAAAGACAGGAAGAGATGGATGCACAGGCAGAAATAAAAAATAAATAAAAACAAAAACTTCACTTTACCCAAAACTAGGGATACAAAAAAAAAAAAAAGCATTGGGCGTGAATACCACTTAAAGGCTGACCAGAAAGAGTAGGATAACAACAAGCAACACTCCTAATTTCAAGCATTGCTTGCTAATATCAAACAGGAAGATTGGATGGGGTGTCTCCTTGGATTGGGCCTTGATCCTTCACTATTCTATAGAGAATCAGAAGGATTAGAAGTACTGCACTTGTGTCAGGAGTCAGCATTGGGCAGGAGTGTCGCTGTGTTCTGGTACTCAAGAGTTTGGTAACAGGACAGATTGTTCTTGGGGAAAACCTGTAAACAACCAATGTAACATCATACTGGATTAAAGCAATACATACCTTCTTCTTGTTTGATTGGTGTGCTGGGAGGGGTGCGAGCTAAGGTGGTGTCTGGGAGCAAGTCCTTCTGTTCTGCCAACTCCTCTAATTGATCTGGAGAGAAAGGGTAAAATAATTACATCGGTTACTGAACTAGCCTGTCTGAGGAAGTCAGGACTTGCCGTGAGGTACTTATAACCCACTCTGTAAACTTGGATTAAAAGCAAGCAAAAAGATATTCAAATAGGTGCTTTCCAAATTCAATAAGCATGCAGTGTTGCAAAACCCATTTTGAAATAAATGCAATGGCACCTCAGTATGACTAAAGTCTTGTTACAACCAATAGAGAAAACCCGATAGGGTGATGTGAGGTTCAGCTTTCTCCGTACCGGAAAAGAGAAGGTTTTCTTTAGTCAGCTCAATCATTTGCCTAGTCTGTGAAAACCAGAAATCTGGGTTGTTCAACGTTTGAACTGCAACTATAGGAGTTCTAATTGCTTGCTTGAGATAATAAGCCACCACCTAGAATCAGAAGGATTAATGGGAATCTTGCAAAACACTGTGATAATCAGAAGTCTAATTGCAGCAGACCTACGATCAATATCTGGTTGGAGATTGCAATACAAAATGCTCAGCGAGATTTTTTTTCTTCCATTATCTATAATGAGGTCACAGAGGAAAATCAACATAGTGGTTGCAGAAAAATGATTCACCTCCCTACCTGAGAGTACAACACCAATTGAATGTATTTTAACTTTAAAATAGATTGAGTAGGTAAGGATTAGAACCTATGTCATGTTTTTAATTTCCTGTCCAAAGGACACCAGGAAGCGAGAGGAAATTTCCCTCCTGCACAATTTAAGTGCAAAAAAAATAAAAGGTAGCATTATCCCTCAACTTTACTGTCCCTGTAAAAATAATCAGCAGGACTAACAGTGATGGGAGATCTCCACAGTAGGGACTAAAAACCTCTATTTATTATCCCATCACACTCTTTCCCAGGATAAACCTGGAGCAAGGAGGGAGCTGCAGCACACCACATGCCTGAAAGGGATTTTGTATGGTCCCAAAACTTTGCAATAGCACCAATTGCACTGTGAGGTGTTGGCTTTCGTAAATATCCAAGCAATAGGATTTGGATCCATGAAGTGCTGGCAACATTATAGTCTTACATTACACATTATAGCCTGACACAGGTCCTAACCCTTCCAATTCTATTCAAATAAAAAAAAAAAGAGTTTTTTTTTTAAAGTTGTGAAGAAGTAGATTTAGTATAAAGATTGTATTCAGCCCAAGAAGTTGCCAATAGATTTCCCCTGCACCAGATTCTTGGTAGTGTGATCATAGGAGAGGAGACCTCCCGGAAGATACCTGAAGGACTCAGCAAGATGATGGGTTTGGTGTTCAGTGCACGGATGACAGCAGTGTGGAATTCTCTGTGAGGAGAATCTGTATCATCTGTCCTCTTCATTGACTCATACTGGGTTTCCAGCTCTGAGCCTGCAGCTGACACTTCTAGGGTTGGTAACTTGACTGGCAGCGGTTGACTCTGCAGGGAAGCCTTGGCATCATCACCCTTCTTGTCTTCTACTGGCTGAACCTCAGCATCGCCTGCTGTCTCTTCTGATCTTGTGACGTTTGCAAGAACACCTGTAGACTTTGCATTCTGACTGTCTTCTAGTTTAGATTCAGTGGCGTCCCCATGAAGGCTCTGCATGGCCACACTACGGGGTGACTCACCTTGGTAGGATTCTGGAGATTGTGCAAGTAAATTACAATTTCACATTGTGCAACACCATTAAAAAAAACTGACCTTTTGGTTACTTCACAAATCTGCAACAATGAACTCTTGGCATGACACAGTACAAGGCAACAATACATGCACACCTTTTATTATTTAAAAGCAGTTCTTGAGCTCAAACTCTTTATTAGGAGTCAAGAATAGGCAGTTAACCATTAATTTAAAAAAAATGTTCTAAATACAAACTGCGTGCCTGAATTTGTCCCCCCCCATGTTTGCCTCCTCCTATTCTCTGCAAAGCAGAACCCAGACTTGGGGAAGGGGGGTGATAATGTTTAGATTCTGAACAGTTCGGGTCATAGAGTAATAGCCTGCAGTTATTGATGGCTGCTTCAGTGGCAGCACATATGACCTAGACTGATTGTTAAAGTGGAACTATACCCTCCTTTATCACCAAGGAAGGTGCCATTATATATGAAACCCTCCAATTAAAGGACTTGAAAGTTGGGTTGAGAGCTGAAATAATGATCTGACTTTCTATATAATCACTGCCTCAGTTGAGACAAAAAAGAAAAAAAAAGGCCTAAAAATTATTTAGAGAAAGCACATCAACTGACCTTAGAATAAGATAAATAGAAGTGCAAACTGAGCTCTCCATTGTTGTTCAACAGAAAGCTGGCATGAAAGAGGCAGCCACCGCTGACCCTCACCTCTGAAAATGCTTATTGCTTGGTTGCCATGCTGGCACCACTGGCCTCGATATGTTGAATCACTAACTGGGAACAATTATGCAGAAAAGGACTTCTGACTTTTCTCCATCTTGTCCAGGGACACAGAAAGCAGTCACTCAGTTAATTGGGGTCAGCATGAACAGCCAGGCAATGTGCATATAGGAAGTCAGTAATGGTAGCCCCTGGATTTCTCGTGTAAAGAATTTCCTTCATCACTTAAAAGCAGGAAGACACGAACCTGCAGTATCCTTTTGCTTACGCTCAACTTCCCTCCGATAATCATCCAGCTCTCGGTCTGTCAGTTTGTTGAAAGGGTTTGGTCCGGCTTTACTGACTTTGACGTGAGGCTGGTATTCCTTCTCAATGATGGCTTTTGATGCGGTAATCAGCTCTCCCTGTCAAAGAAGAAAAAGGAAAAAAATCAAGCAGTTTTCTAAAAGCTAAACGTTACATTGAAGAAGCACAGCGAGTGTACCACACCAACTGTATACATATAGTAATATGCTGATATTAATAAAGCACAAGGAAAATAAAAGGATTTTTGTTCTTACTGCAAAATACTTTCTTGGAGTACTTTAAGAGACACAGCTCTGAAGAATTCTGAGATGTAGGGTTATGCTGCTGCCTCCAGGAGAAATAGTCACTAGGCAAAAAAAATAAAAGCCTGGCCCTTTAAGGATATAACCCCTCCAAACTCACACCTGTCAGTTGTAGCAAGCAGTATGAAAGGAAATGGGAGAAGGGAGCCGTGTCCCTCAATGGACTCTTTTTATATTAAACAAAATCCTATTTTCTGTATCGTCCATTGAGGAACACAGCTCTGAAGAATTCTGAACGTAGTGACGTCAAAAAGAAGTCCAAAACAGAGGGGCGGGCACCAAAAAAGCTAGAACAAGTTCAAATACTCAAACAGCCACCTAAAGAACTTTTGTGTCAAAACTAGCAGGCAGAAACGTTAACTTTATAAGATTTGGCAAAAGTGAACAGAAGACCAAGCTGCGGCCTTGCCATTTGAGTAACAGAAGATTGATTCTGAAATGCCCAACAAGTACTAACTGCCCTGGTATAATGAGCAGAAACAGGAAAAGGAGGAGTCCTATCCAGCAACTCATAAGCGTGAATGACAACCCGGCGAATCCACTAAGAAATACAGATCGAAAATCTGAACAACCTTATCCAGGACCTTCATTTTGAACACCTAAAAGGGAGCTGTGGCTGACAGATGAACTCGAACAGCCCGCACAAAATCCAGGAGGAGGTTTTTGTAAAACAGATAAAACCAAGTTCAAATCCCACGGAGGAAGAGGAGACCTAACAGGAGGAGCCACACATGGAATTCCCTGAATAGAAGTATGAATCAAGGAATTAGAAAGAGGACGTTGGTAAATAAAATAAAAAAAAAAAAAGACAGACAGCCGACAATGCAGTTAACTGGCCCTTTAAAAAGGTACTTAACCCCTTCATGATGGCCCCTTCTTCGGGACGCAGAAGCGATCTGGCGACAGGTAAGTCGCCAGGATCGCTTCTGTTGTAAAGCCGACAGTCGGCTCTACAAGTTTAAACAGAGTCCCGGCGGCAAAAGTCGCCGGGAGTCTGTTTAAACAGCCCCGATGCTGGCGACGTACACTGTACGTCGTCAGTCACGAAGGGGTTAAAGCTAAAACAATGATCCACCTTAAGTTAAAGGAAAGACAATATTTGCGGTACAGGCAGTCCCCGGGTTACGAACAAGATAGGGACTGTAGGTTTGTATGCAAGTTGGAACAGGTAAAAAAAAATTTTTTTTAAGTGCAACTCCAGCCCGAAATTTTTTTTTGTTTTGGGAGAGAATAGGGAAGGGTTAACCCCCGGTAACATTTTTTTTTTTTGCTGTATGTGCCCCTGTTCAGAAGATTTCACCTCACTTTCTGTCCCTGTGACAGTTGGATTTTGAACATTTTGGGTTGTCGTGGAAACAAGGACTGGTGATAAAGCTTTAGTGGAGACACCATTTTCCCATGATAACTCCTAGATCCCTTCCTAGGGGTAGATTTCCTCTCACTTCCTGTTGTCTCAAGGAAGTAAGATTAAATCTTAAATTAATTCCCGGTGAGCAGTCCTAATGATTCTTCCTAGTTTAGACTTCCAGAGTTCGGGATGCAGGCACAGGATTCTACATACAGAATTGTATCAAAGAAAGAATAGTGCTTCATCGATTTTAGACAGGCATGCTCCTAGCTAACAAGCACTCCCTATAAGAATATAAACAAACTTGACATATTTCATGGAAAAGTGCTGAGATACAAAACCTGGACTTTCTGCTATTTGCTGCATTCGGGGGAACAACCCAACTTTGCACAGTTTAAAGATAGGCGTGCCATATAAACTAAACTTAAGCATGAGTTTGAAGTGATCTAAGGTGCTTTTTTCTTTTAAATGCCCTGAGCAAGAACTAGAGGTTATCATTTCAAAAAATTGTCACCACATATAGCTGGTAAACCCATCATACAGAAATCTATTGGCTACAAAGTATAAATCCTAATCTGTAAGCGTAAAAATGAAATGTCTGAAATTTACAATAGAATGGCAGTGTATACCTTTCTAACTGAGTAGATTTTAGCTGGACTAAAAGCCTGCTCTGACAGCTCCAACCCATCAAGAGTTTCGGCGCAGTCTGAGAGAGGTGCATCCTGCAACAGCAAATTGAGTAAACACAGCAAACCAGACCTCACAAACACCATGATAGACATCAAGGACATGAGACAACCATGCAGCTTGAAAGGAATGGAAGGCAGGACATGCGTGAAAAATGCAGCAACAGAAATGGAACAGATACAGATGATAAGACTGACGGCTCATGACTGGTTACGAATGCAAAAGGACAGGATTGCACCCAAGACTACAAGATATACATGTGAGGCCTATGGACAATCAACTTTCCCTAAACAAAATCATGGAATCATTTTTAGGCTTCTGAACACACAGAAAAGTAGAATAAAAGTACAGCTGCATAAACATCAATAAAAACTAAATTCAACAGCTTGGCTTGTATGAAACCCGGGACTAAAAACATTAATGGAGCTCAAAGAAAGCCATCATTATCATAAGTGGTCAATACATCTCTCTGAAAAAGCTATACAAGTCATCTGCACACAATATGTATATGTAGTATATTATGTCATGACCATGATGGAAGATGTAGTTTAGGTACAATCGCTCTGGACATGGTAGTAGATGAATGATGATGTGTATTTGCCATTGTTGTCTGAATTGTAAACCAAATGCACAGAACACATTAGTATTTAGCTGCGTGATGTTATAATCTGCATAGCACTGCCATTGCTCCCTTTTCAGCCAAGGTGACAGAGCTTTTTGGAGACATCTGTTCCATCACAAGGTCCAGACAAACCTGGCAAATCTGTGTGCTTATTCATGAGCAGGAAACCCACCATGGCATCAAATTAAAGGGTTTGGGCAACCCAAACAGTCTCCATAGACGCCAGTGGATTGAATCAGGCACTAAATTGCTTATATTTATTGGGGGATCCAGTGCTGAGATATCTGCTTCTAAGTTCCCAGATTGGCCTGTCTGTGACAGCCGTCATAAGGAGGTCTCATGATGATTCAAGTTTTTTGTTGTTAATGAATTTAGGAGAGAGATCAAACCAGTGGAATCCCCAGGAAAATATAAGGCGGCAGTTATCTTTCCCCTAAAAATATCATTTTAGGGTGGACAGTTAGTCTCAAAAGTTTTAAAAACTGTATGGTTTTATAAATGTATATTTTCTCACACTTGAGAAGGTTATTGTTCACCCCAATACTATGGGAGACTAAACATCAAAAGGTTCAGGTCCACCAGAAGGGGAGGTCACTAGGAAGCACCAGCATGCATGGCAATCAGCAATGGCATCAGAAGCATCGGTCACTGCCATGCTTGTACCACACACTAAAGCCAATTGAGTTTACGATTACCAACTGCGCGGCTTTGCAAAGTAAAGAAGCCACTTTTTGCGCTTACCTTGAACACTGACAGTTTCTGTCAATTAAAGAATATTGTTAGAGCAATGAAAAGGAGAAGCAAATGACAGGTAATTGTTACAATAGTTTTGGGCACTGACCTGCACCATGCTCCGCTCCATCACAACTCCGCTCAGGACCTGAGACTGAGGGCCAGCCGTTTTAATATCTTGCAAATTCTGCTCTCTTATCTGAGATGTAAAACAGAATAATAAGCACACCAACATAAAACAAGAACTCTGCTTTAAAGTGACACTAAACTCAGGAGTAAATCTTAAAAATGCATTTAAGTAACCTATTAATAAAAATGTATATTTGTGTATCACTCGGCTGTAGATCCTCAAATCTCTGAATTGGTGCAGACACTGTCCTTCCTTCTGGAGGGGGGCTACTTTTGTTCGCCATGGTCCCGGTCCCTGTGTGTGTTGTAAAGTAGCCACCGCTCCAAGCTCACTCCCATGATGGACTACAATCTCAGGATTAGTTTACTAATTTGTACTGAGATTGTAGTCCATCACAGGAGCGAGCTTGGAGCGGTAGCTACACACAAAAACCTGGCCCAGTCCCAAATATGTACTATCCAAAAAGATGCAGAGGGGAGAAAAAAAAAAGTTTTAAAAATTACCAACATTTTGGAAAGTTCCAATAATGGATACTGATGAAGGTAAATTAAGTGTCTGTACAAGGACCTGAAGTTTCGACTGATTTAAAATGTTTTCAAGCAAATCACATAGGAGAGCATATGGTGCACTCCACAAGGTTCACAGGCCCATAGCATGCAAGTGCTGTAGCAACAGAAAGCGGATGGCGACCCTTTCTCAAATCTTCAGCTAAGAAATGTCACCAGCACATGGACAATTCCAGAAGAAGAAACATTTATTAGTCGCAAACAAGAGAAATGGTTTAGAGCCCAATAACGGCCCCATCATCATCATAGCGTGCCCGAAAAAGGGGCCAGCATGAGACTCTGAAACTTTGCTCTTGCTTGTGACTAATAAATGGTTTCTGGAAATGTCAATGTGCTGATGACATTTCTCCTTCGAAACTTTGCAAGAAAAAAGATCAGAACATCAAAACGTCCTCAAGGTTTAAAGTGTAACAATATCACCTAGTCTGTGCACAGGATTTGAAACAAACTACTTAGCATACATTTAAAGGGCAAACCCACGTGAATACATAAAAAAAAAAAAAAAAAAAGCCTTTA